AATAACAAATAATGATGTTGTTACTATTGTAACAAGGTTGGTGCGTACCTTGTGAATGCCTTATTATACTGTCAAAATAAGTTATTATATGCCGACTCGATTGCATTACACTACCAACCCTTTCTCTCTCTTAAACGGTACCGTAGGTGTTAGAAAAATATCAAAACTAATGTTATTGTGCTAATCTTAATAAATTTTTAAAATTATACTATTAATGTCAAATATTGTCACGGTGACATGTCCAATGTAAGTAAGTCATCCTCGGTTGATTGGCTAAAATGAAAATGAACAAAGAATGATAAAGGTACTAGTAATGTGCAATAGGAAATGTAGGGAAAAATGAAGTAGGGTTAGGGCAATTAGCTGAAATGATCAGTTTTTGACATTTGATTGCATAAATGATCAATTTTTATCATCTCGTTATTATATCATCCTTGTGTGGTCGTTATGTAATCGATATATGATTAATATATCGTCGTTGCAAGAAACTGTTTGTTTCTGCAACCAAATGTTATAAACCGATGATTCCAGCTAATTGTCTAATAAAATAAGACTGTTTTTGGCGTATTTGGAGTATGTCATGGGCTTGTTGAGTGACCAACTAACAATGTCATGGGATTGTTGAGTGACCAACTAGCAACTATATGCAACTGGATTCTCTCTAGTAAGCGCCAAAAAATGAAAAGGCATTTTGCCAAGTTTGGTAATGTCTTCCAACTAACAGATGCAATGTGTTTAATAAAGTTAAATACAATATTTTATTGGGTATAGATTCAAGTAACATGAGGTTGTCTGTGAACAATTCCAATTAAAATTGAACCAAAGAGAGTGATATTTTATGTTTGATATGTGACGACCCGTCCCTAATTTTCTATGTAAGTTCTCCCTGAGTATGTGAATTGGCATTTATGCCCTTGTTGGCAAGTGATGTGGACGTGTTTACTGTTCTTAAATTATTTTTCTTGCTATCGTAATTAAATAGTATTCGTTGATACGATCGCGTGAGCACGAGTTTGACCCGAATCGGATTTGTAACGAAAAAGTTATGTCTCATTAAAGTACGTAAACGACGGGTAGAATTGTACACACGTGTGTGCTAATTTATAATTGTTAGAAACACTGTTTTGGATAGATTTTCTGAGCATTTTTTACTATTTAAGTATGAAAAGCCTATCTCATTCTTTGTTTAAAATTGGACCCCTGCCTTTTGTTTTTTTTTCACCAATCAACATCTCTCCCTCTTTCACGCAACCAATCAGAAACCCACTCCTATTTTTTGTCACCCAATTAGAATTCACCTCACTCCCTCTCTCTTCTTCTTCCTTCTCTCTTTAACCCGAGCTCCCTTTCCTCTGCAACACTCAAGAACGACATCAAACACTCACAGATCGAGACTTAAAATACCACCATCGTGATCCTCTCATCTTCATGAACTCAACCATACCAACTGATTCTTGAATGGTTGAGTTTTGAGTGGCCAACGCAGAGCAACTCAGAAGCTCCGACTCGGTCGAGTTCGTAACGTCGTGATCCCGACCGAGTTACAAGATTTTAGGACTTGGGGAAGCTTCTATTCAACTCCCCGAGGTCTTTAGTGAAGGTTTGAGGAAGCTTTGATGTGAAACAACCCGGTTTCGAGAAGTCGGAGTTTTGACCGAAACTTACTAGATTTTTTCAGGCCATTTCTCGTCCTTTTTTTGGACTTCCAAAAGGTATAAATTTGTTCTCCTCGTAACGAGCTTCATTTCCATATAAATTTCATGAAAAATGGTTGAGAACTGAGCAAGATATTAAGGTTTGAAAATTTCCCCAGAAACCAGCGAACCAGACGGCAGACGGTAGCAATAGGTGAGGACCACTGGAGAAGACAATGGAATATCCTGACGGCATTAGGTAACAACCTTAACATTTAACAGAATATTCTTAACGGCCGTTAAGGCCTCCGTCAGTCTCTGCTTGCGCATGGCCGCGCGTATGACTGTGGGTTGGACTGTGCGTGATGGCGCGTCCGCCCTCTGGCTAACGAATGGTTGACACGTACGGGTTCATGACTTCGAGTAGAACACTTTCGTATATTCAAACCTTCTGTTTGAGCAAATTATGGGGAGTTTTTCCCAGTTTTTCGTATATGTGTTAATTAAGTAATTTTTATTAGTTGTTTCGCATATAGGGGAGACTTACCCTGGGGATGTACGTGGACAAACGAGGAGGTAAGGTGTTTACAATCCTACGACATACCAGTCAGTGGGCATTTTGTTTATATATATATATTGTATAGTTTCCAAATGCTTTTAAATTGGTTTATGACTTGTTGATACACAAAACCGGAGAGGTCTTGGAACAACGTAAATCCGACCGTGAATCTGCAAGAAAGTAAATAACACAAGATGTATCCTGGTTCACCCCAAGGTTTGGGCTACATCCACACTGATATTGTATTTCTTTGATTATATGTATGGATTACAAGGGTGAGGGGGAGTCCCCCAGAGAAAGAGAAAGTTTGAGAGGGCTCTCTGTTTGTGAGCATGAGAGCTTGAGAGAGATGAACTTTGTGAGGGTGAGATGGCTTTAGGTTTGTGAGGGTGAGGAGACCCTTTTATAGAATAAGGGCTCATCCCCTTTTTACATATTTGCCCATCCATTTATTACATAATTACATTTGAGTCCCCCGAGTATTTATACGAGGTCTAAATACAGAGGCCCTAAGTATGGTATAAACAAAAGTCCCCCAAGTTTTCAGTCAAGAGTCTTTTGGCTGGAGACTTGAAATTCAGTCCATGTGTGGGCCGAAGTAACTAGATATCATCTAGGACTGATACTCGATATGAGGCGGCGCTCAATTTGAAATGATGCTCAACTAGAAGTAGCACATGCTGCGAGACTGCTCTGCTTGTGGCTTATTTTGCCTTGGTTGGCTCGGCTTGTGGTGTTGAAGGTGAGGGAGTCCCTTTTATAGAATAAGGGCTCGCTCCTCAATACATAAGTGATAGGTTAGGAGTGATGCTCGCGGCGAGGCGGTTGCTCAGCTGGCGGCGATGCTCTCTAATGAAGATGAGGGAGTCATTTTCATAAAATAAGGGTTCGCTCCTCAATACATAAATGATGGGCTAGAGTTGATACTCGCGGTGAGGCGGTTGCTCAGCAGGTGGCGATGTTTTCTAATGATGGTGAGGGAGTCCCTTTTATAGAATAAGGGCTCGATCCTCAATACATAAATGATGGGTGCTCTTTAATGAAAGTGAGGGAGTCCTTTTGATAGAATAAGGGCTTGCTCCTCAATACATAAGTGATGGGCTAAGTCCCTCAAGTATTTTTCATGAGGCCTAGTTAAGGCCCAATATATGGTACGTAGTGTAGTCCCCCAAGTCTTCGGTCAATAGAGTTTGTTGGCTGGAGACTTCAAATTGAATCCATATATGGGCTGAAGTGGCGGTTGTTCGGATGCGGTATTTGTATACCCTGCACTGAAGCTTTGTAGGTGAAGCTTTACAAGTGAAGCTTTGAAGCTAGAGCTCTGTAAATGAAGCTTTTGAAGCTAGAGCTCTGTAAATGAAGCTTTTAAAGCTAGAGCTCTGTAAATGAAGCTTTTGAAGCTTGAGCTTTTGTAAATGAAGCTTTTGAAGCTAGAGCTCTGTAAATGAAGCTTTTGAAGCTAGAACTTTTGTAAATGAAGCTTTTGAAGCTAGAGCTCTGTAAATGAAGCTTTTGAAGCTAGAGCTCTGTAAATGAAGCTTTTGAAGCTGATTGACATGAGTAATGCTTATGAATGTTTGTGTTGATTGACATGAGTGATCCTCATGGATGTTGACATGAGTGATGCTCATGAACGTTGAATGTTGACATGAATGATGGTCATGAATGTTTATGTATGATTGACATGAGTAATGCTCATGTATAATTTTGGAGTACTGGACGTACTTTTGATCACCTGGTTAGTGATAATAGTGGCAGGGTGCCAAATAAACTTGAAGCCATAGGGCCAGGCTCTTTTGGGCATATGGGCCTTGGCCCTCCACATAATATTCCAGCCCATTATTTTGGGCTTGCTGTTTTTTTTTTTATTTATTTTTTTATTACCATTTGATGGGGTTTATACAGATGTCTCTGAAATATAAGAAAAATAAATCACATCATTCAAAAATAAAATCCGACCCTTCAATGGGTCACGCCCATAATTCCCTTTTCTGCATGCCATTACCACCGTAATTATTTATGCTTCTCTGATGAGCATCACAGCTATTATTGTCTTCCTTTATTGCTGTCACTTCGGCCCTACTCTTTCTTATTTTTGACGAAATAGAGGTAATTCCTTTCTCTTCCATCTTATCAAAAGCTGAAAGAGCACTACTTGTATTGACGTTTCCCACCATCTCACTCACTTTAGTTGCAGTCTTCGCAGACTAAGCACGTGTTTTGAGGGTATCCTGCCTCCTGTATCTTGCTTTCCAAAAGTCGTGTATTAGACACAAGATTATAAACAACAGCTTTCCGTTGGTCAAGTTGAGATTTCAAAGTGGGAACATGTGCAGCCTGGTCAAGATATGTCCTCCTCATTTTTCTTTTTCTTACTTTTGCTTTTCTTTCTTTTTCCCGTGAAACCCCCACATTCCCCCACAAGCGTCGTACACTGTGACACCGGAGCTGGCGGGACCGAGGCAGTGGAACTGCATGATCTCGTTTCTGTCCACGACGCATTGCGCCTTCACAAGCTCCTTGTACTCCTCGAACCGGGCAACAGTCTTAGACCCGTTCTGGGCTTTAAGAATCATCTCAATCCGACCTGAAAAGTGATCTAGCTAGTGGCAATGAAGGTGGAGGAGAATGAGGAACAGTTCCAGTTGTGGGGTGGCATTGGTGATGGAGTGAGAGGGCGACCATTGAGATTTAAAAGGAAGATCGGCAATCTGACGGTCGCCATTGGGAGGCAACTCCGTAAATTATCCCCGCAAAGCTCTTTTGCAATTTGCCAAATACAAGTAAATGCGATCAAAGTACCAGCATCAGTCTCTATTTTTTCTGAAAAAGCAACCCTCGGTGAGCCTGGCTCGACCTCCAGTAGGCTGGCACAACACTGTTTGGCAGTTCCCACACACCACAACTGTTTGTGAGTGACTAAATACGGTTGTTATGCTGAAGCATCCTTGGCACTTAACATTCATGAAAAATGAGTTGGGCGTTTGCACAAGCCTTTTGAGCTTATGCTTCCTCTTTTCGAGCTCAGCTGGTAGGTGAAGCAAATTGGTATCGTTCTGAAGCACCATCTTGATCGATGCAGATTGTAGCAAACCAGAAACATAGAGTCGCAAGAACCTTTAGAGAGAGCTGGAGTGCGTGAGATTGTCCGGAAAGGGTCCCCGGAGGTTGTTGTCAGCGAGGTCGAGACGGATGAGTCCTAACCTTCAGGAATCTGAAGCCACTTATTCCTTGGTGCCATTGCTGAGGATCTGGGTCGTCAGGCACTTTGATTGGTTACGACGTCAGAGAAGACGAGTTCGGAGTCTTGGCAGAGGTTGAGGTTCTTGTGGCGAATTATCCTGGATTTGAGATCGCGAACGGAAATGAAGGCGTGGCCGTCGATGGCGGTGGATTCAAAGTTGACGAAGCCTCTGAATTTGAACTGGACCGCCATGGTAGAACGACGACACTAATCCTATTTGACATGCGTTAACCGCCACTCCTGTTCTAATTTCCTCTAGAACTCTCGCCGGAGCAGCCTCAGTTTGCTTGTAGAAAACTGGGAAAAATGGGATCCTGATGACGGCGGGCTCTCAATCCTGCGAGATAGGTCCTCCTGCGAGATGGCTCATAATCCAACCGACCCAGATTCCCAAACGAGCTAATCCTGCTGAAAATGCCATAGGAGGTCACTGCTAGGTTGGACCTTGAAGCAATTTTGGTAGAAATGCTCACGAGCAGCTTCAACTTCTGCTCGCTCCTCCTCGATACCTGCATCTGGGTCGAACTCCCATGTCTGCCTTCCATGGAAGTTGTTTGTGCTGAACAACATAGGGTCATTTGCACCCTCTCCAAACTTGATCTTCCACATCTTCCTTGATCACTGGATTAGTAGTACAAAAATAATCGTTCTTTTAGTACCATTTGCAAAAACTAGCTGTGATGGTGAGGCAGGAAAGAGTTTGCTTTGAGTTGCTATGCTGAGTCTCTATCTCCTCTATTTCTCTCTCTAGAAGCTGATAGATATACTCAAACAAAGCTCTCTCTTCGCTCTTTTGCTGTGCCCTTTTGGTCAGTTCCACCATACTATCTCAGAGGTTACTTTGTAAGGAGACCTCCATTTATGAGACAGATTTTGATTATGGCTCTATAATTTAGAATTTGGAGTGGATTGGTGAGCGTGGAGAGAGAGAGAGCTCTGTGTTTGTGTCTCTGTGTGGGTTTTGCAAATCCACGGCGGACAGTGGTGAGGTTGTGAAGATTTCACGGTGGTGAGATGGAAAAATGAAAGAAAACCGACACAGCTTTTCGTGTCGATTCTCATAGACGGCGCCAAATGTTGATGCACAAAACCGGAGAGGTCTTGGAACAACGTAAATCCGATCGTGAATCTACAAGAAAGTAAATAACACAAGATGTATCCTGGTTCACCCCAAGGTTTGGGCTACGTCCACACTGATATTGTATTTCTCTGATTGTATGTATGGATTACAAGGGTGAGGGGGAGTCCCCCAGAGAAAGAGAGAGTTTGAGAGGGCTCTCTATTTATGAGCATGAGAGCTTAAGAGAGATGAGCTTTGTGAGGGTGAGATGGCTTTAGGTTTGTGAGGGTGAGAAATCCCTTTTATAGAATAAGGGCTCATCCTTTTTTTACATATTTGCCCCTCTATTTATTACATAATTACATTTGAGTCCCCCGAGTATTTATACAAGGTCTAAATATGGAGGCCCTAAGTATGGTATAAACATGACTATTACACCGCGATTTACTTAATTTTAAAAATGCTGTTATGTAGCTGAGATTTATATTGTCATGGCATATTCATATGCATTTTACTTGCTCATCAATATTATAGTGTTGTGAACTGCTAAAGTAATTCTATGGGACACGCAGGTAAATTCAGGTAAGTTTATGGTGTTGTTTGGAATGATTGCATTGTGGCATGCTCATATTCATATAGTGGCTCATCATTGCTACACCCAGGTGATAGTGCTCATCCTAGGCCATGCTAGTCTTTCACATGTCGTTCACATCAGCACCGCATGTTCACCTTAGATCCAAGTAGGTGCTAGCCCTGTCATACAAATTGCAATAGACAATTCCGACTCGTATGCAATAGTGAATAGTGCTAGCCTTCACGTGATTGTAGCACTAGAACGTATATTATTACACCTACCCCTGTCATATAGGTCACATTAGATGACTCCGACTGGTGTGTTTGCATAAATGGATGAGCAATAAGTGAAGTCGTACAGTTCATATTAGGTGACTCCGACTTGCGTGCTAGTATAGCTTGTTGAGCACATGATTATATTCATATTGTCAGTGAGATACTCCACTGTGGCATATTTCTGAATTTATTGTTGGCATGCATTTGATTTCATACTTATACGTAGTATGATTTTCTGGAAACTATACTTGTTTTATAGCAAGGGGTTAGTATGTTCATAAAACAAATGATTTTATTAAATTCTTACTTTTGTGCCCACTCACCCTTCTGTCTTTCGCCCCTTCAAGTCCTAGATAGCTGACCTACTCTGTGGCACTCAAGGATTACCTGGCGATTCTGACATATCTCCATTTTAACGTAGGAACTTATCTCTAGTTAAGTAATAAGTACTTTTCTCGTTCGACTGCTTTACCTTTATGTTATCTATGCTCTGAATATTTGTAGTTTTTGGGTTGTAATCACTATTGCGCACTCACTTTATTAGTTAATTAAGTTATAGTTTCGATTTTAATTTATTCACATTTTTCTTACATCACTTGCACTTTTGGTTACGTCACCTTCATGTGACAGCCAGCACGCCTTGATTCTGGTCGGGGCGTGTCATGATACAATTCTTTTCGCTTTCATTTAAATCGAAAATCGAATGCTCCGTAAATGTACATATATGGTTTATATAATTGCTAAGAATGATCCAAAATTGATGGGAGGAGGGACCTTACATGGGCTTATAAGTATGCTGGGCTATTTCCCATATTATCAATTGGTTTGATGGTGTAATCCCAACTTCTATCATGGTACCTGAGCAGGTTGTCCCGCGTGTGAAGCAAAAGGGCCACACGTCCTCCACACCACTCCGTTGTGTTGTTCACATGTTATGCTTGAAAATTCGTCACATGTGACGGGTTGTGTTGAGAATGAATTCCATATTTATGGGAGGAGGGACATTGCATGGGCTTATAAGTAAGCTGGGCAATTCCCCATATTTCCAAATGGTTTTATGGTGGAATCCCAACTTTCTTCAATAATTTGATAAATAGAATTCTATCAATGCATTTAAATTATTTATGGTTAGATAATTTCAAGTGCTGATAAGAATAAAGAAGTAGAAAACAACCAAGTTAAATTTAATTGAATTGTATTTTGTGGGAATCCTTATGAATTTCCTATATAGCTATAGTCATTTTCGTCAACTTTGTTAAAATTTCCATCAAAATAAGTCACGTGCCAAGCACGTGAGGTCAGAATTAAGGGACACTATGGAAATTAAATGAAAAAATGGTAGAAATTGTCCCTCAACTTTAATCAAATTGGAGAAATGGTCCCTTAACTTTAACCAAATTGTAGCAGTGATTCTTCCAACACAACTCGTTTTGACCGAAGTGCTAACGGAGTTAATGAAGATAATCATAACTGCACATTTTGAGGAGTTAAGGGACCATTGATCATGTATTTTTAGTTGAGGGACCATTGCTCTGATTAGGTTAAGGTGAGGGACCATTGCTAAAATTTCCTCATTGTTTTTTATTTTTCAATTTTAAGTTAAAGTTCCTGATATAGCTCTAGATTAAATGGAAGAACAGACATAACTAGTGAAAATGACTAATGGTGCAACATTTTGTCAAATTTGATGACTAAAAAACTAATATGTAAGTTCAAAAACTAAAATGAAATAGGGATAAAATTCAAACACCATTGCTACGATTAAGCCTTAAGTAATAATAATCCATTAATTAACATTCGAGGACCATACATGAAATCGTCATGTAATTCGGAAAATAGTCTATAAAAACCTTAAACAGATAAACCACGTGTGAGAATTTCTGATCAAGGAAAAAGAAACTCACATTCTTACGAATTACAATAATTGTCATAAATACAAACCTTGAGTCATAGGCATCCAACCAAAATGAATGATCACGACCTTTAAGTATTGTTCTAAAAACTCTCGCCTAGTGCTAGTCGGTGCTAGGCAGCTAGCAACCACATTAATTAATCTCTAAGCTTTTGAAAAATAAGAAAGAACGCCTAGACCTACCTAGGTTCCCACCTAGCCTGCTTAGAACCCCCTAGGTCGTGATTCTCACTTAGACAGAAATTAGATAACTTTCATTTTGCGTTTTAGTTTTTCAATAAATTGAAAAAGACTTGTTGAATACATGGATGAACACTCATTATATGCTTGTTCCCCATGTTTTCAATATGTTCTAATACTTTATAATCTACACGTCATTCTATTTTGCAATTTATGCATCCTCATACAATTATGTGGGACCATGATTTTCCAGGGCCGGAGTAAAGCGGATTGGAATACAATTGCATTAGAAGTCCGGTCATGGACTTAATATCTCCGAGTGGAGTCAGATTATCGGAGCAATAGTGCCACCATCATCCTGTTCCGAAACAGTGGATGAAGTTTGAGCGACTTCGGTGAGAATGGCCATCATCCTCTATATGTCTTGAAGTTCCTACAATCTAGGAATTCGCGTGCGTCGCAAGTAATCACACTATTAAAGATGATGCAATCTACTACTAAATATCCTTTAGAACTCTCCCGGCTTAGCACAAGGATTCTATCCTAAAAAGGTCTCTCTCCTGACTGGTATTCTATCCTAAAAAGGTCTATCCCTTGATTGGTATCTATACACTCATCTAAGGTTCGTCTCTGGTAGCACAATCATTGCACTCTAATTCTCTTGCCAGCTTGAGTCTTATACTTCCTTACTAATTTGACCATTGAAAATCCCTTGGTTGACACCCTCGACGATCGAAGGCTTGCTCATGGTTGTTTGCTATTTTACAATTTACTTGGATTTGTACCCCCATCATCCACGGCGGGATGCGAATTGGGTTCTAACAAATTATGTACTTTTATAAGTATAAAAAGAAATCTATTTATATGTTATATAATAAATTTAATTAAAATTTAAAAAATTACATAGACGCTAAACTCTTACCCGTCGCCTAACTACCACTTAGCGCCTTTTAGAATCTTCCTCTAAGACCATGTTGTGCAATACA